CCCCCCCCCCCCCCCCCATCCCATGAGGGTCAGCTGGCACGGAGGAAATTTTGTTCTTTCACATCTGTATATTCCCAGAGTCTACGACAGAGCCTGGTACACAGTAGGCACTCAATAAATGTCGGATGAGCAGATGTCCCAAAACATCTCAGTTTTACCCATTTCTCACACGGGGACTGGGACTTATTGCTAAACTCCACCCATGGGGTGGTGTCAGGGGAGATTGAGGAGGGGGGATTGGCTGGAAGACTGGTAGGAGCCTGGGTCGCTGCAAGGGGCACCCCAGGACAGGAGTACAGTCAGCAGCTGCGGCCACCTCAGCCCAGGCCTGCGCCGTCTGCCACTCCCACCCACCCGCTGGCTGGGACTCCTGTCACTAGCCTGAAGAAACACTGTGACCCCGTACTAGAGGCAGTGACTTGACCATGAAGACCAGCCAGCAGGGGGCGTAAAAGGGATAGAAACCAGCCAACCCCCAGGACCCAGGATCCCGAACCAGAACCCAGAATCCAGAACTGGAACCTGGAACCCCAAGCCCCGACTCCGGTTTCAAATCTCAGGATCTGAACCCCAAAACTAGAACCTGGAACCCAGAGCCCAGGACCTGACCCCACTGAGGAGACCCAGACTTTAAAACCCGGCATGCCAAACCCAGACCCTCAATCCAGACTCCAGACCCAAGACCCCAGGCCAAGGAGCAGGACTCTCAACCCAGAGTCCAGACCCAGGACTCAAGACCCAGGACCCAGGACTGTCAACCCAGACCCCGGACCCAGGACCCAGGACCCAGGACCCAGGACAGGGGCTTGCTGGCTCCCCAGAGTGGCACTGCCGACATCTCTGTGTAGACAAGGGCGGGGAAGGGGGGAGGGTAAACGCTTGGCAAACAGCAGGGGTGAGTGCTTGGCAGACCTTCCTGTAATGTTCAGAGGGGCATGAGGAATGTCCCTCATCCTGTCAGAGCCAATTCGGGGAGCTCAGAATATGGTGGCCACGTGGAGAGGGTGGTGGAGGGTGATGGGAGGGAGGGATGGACAAGGCCTGGCTGTCCTTTGGGCTCAGGAGCCAGAGGCAGGGAAGGAGGGTCGGGCTCTTGTCCCCCTGGCCGCAGGCTCCACAGGCCGTCCTGGCCCGCCCCAGCCCGCCCCTCCTGGCCTGAGGCCTCTGGGCTGGGACGCAGGCCCACACTTCCCGGAGGAGTCGAGAACGCGGCCTGGGCCAGACCCAGAGCCTTAGAAGTAGGTCAAATGTTGCTGTGCAGCAGGTCCTGGGGACCCCGTCCAGGCGTGGGCAAGCCCACAGGCAGCAGCTCACCCACCAGGGCACCCGTGTGTATCCACATAGACGTGAACCCACCACCACGTGTTGGGTGCCCATAAGCACAGACCCCACGCAGGGCCCCCGGTCCCTGCCCAGCTGCACAGATGAAGGCACTGAGGCCCCCCCCAGAGGGGCAGCAGCTGCCCAGCAACTCTGGCCAGAGGTGGCACGAGGCAGACACGAGGACCAGGAGGACAGGAATTTCTGCACCATTCCATGGCCCTGGAGCCTTGGGTGAAAGTCTGACTCCAAAGAGGACTTCCCAGCAGGGCTGCTATGCCACCAACAGGATGTGGCCTGCTTCCCGGAGCATAGCCCCAGGCCTTGAAAGACGGGAAGGAGTGGCCAAGGGGGAAGCAGGAGACTCT